TATCAAGGTATTGAAATAAAGAAAGGCTCTATACTAATGAGTCAAGAGTCAGACGTTCAATTTTAGCTGAAATACAATATAAATGGCATTAGCCCCATTTACCACTAGTACTGGTCAGCCTAACCAGGACTATAGAGGAAATACAGCGTCTGCCACTGCCACAGCAAAAAAACAACAAAGTCGAATGTACTAGGAATACCAATGGGATCGTTGTCATTGTCACTTAATCAATTAGGATTATGTCTTTGAAGTTGTGAACTCAGGGTCATAGATCTCCAAGCAAAATTACGGAGTATACAAGTTATATATATATATATATATATATATATATATATATATATATATATATATATATATATATTTGAGCGAATATATTGTATATACATATGTACATTTAACGTACTAATAGTTTCCGGGGTCCGGTTATATAAGAGACGGTAATGGCAGATATTTCAATGCCGCTTCGAAATGTAAACGAAGAGAAATAAATAAGCAAAGACTACACACGCACCCAAATACGAGCAAACAACAACATCAACAGCTAACAAAATAAAATAACGGAATAAAACAATCACGAAATTGTCCTTTGATCTTTTTACCCCCACCCAGCCGATTTACAGGACAAACAAAATCCCAACCATATCGTCGTAATTTTCGTATATAGTTGTTTTTGTTTTTGTCGCTGCTTTTCAGACCATAACCGAAATTAACAAGTTAAACAAATAAAACGAAAATGAAAAGGAAGTAAAATCACATCAAACTCATCTCTCTGTAATTTGTGATTCGTTTGCCAAGATAAACACTGCGCGTATAATCAATATACTAAACAAGGACCAATCATTATTTGGTTGGAAAAGGGGAGGGCGGCTACAAAACACAACACAAATTTCCGCCCTTAAAACGTAGCTCATAAAGTGTTATCTCTCCAGCCACATGTCCCTAATTAAACGTTATACAATTATTTATTCTTTTATTTTATGGACTAATGCAAATTAAATCTTTAGAGAAGAATATGTGTTTTTCAATAGGGGTTATCATTATACCATGAACCAATTGAAAATGGGATATCAGGGTGTAACGTTTTTGAGAAAAAGGATGTAACAGACAGAAAGAAGCATCACAGACCCCATAAAGTATATATATTCTTGATCAGGGTGACGAGCTGAGTTGATATTGCCCGGTCCGCCCGTTTATCCGCCCTCTTCTCCCCGAATTTATAATAACGTGTCTTAAGTTTTAGAGACTTGTGCTTTGGAATATATATACATTTGAACATTATAATTAGTAGGAGTAGTTATCGATATTTAGAGAGAAACTCGATATGCGCGGACCAAGGCAAAAAAAAAATTTAAGTCTCTAGCTCCTATATCTTCTGAGATCGACGCGTTCATACATACGGACGGTCGGATAGACAGACAGACAGGGCCAAATCGACTCAGCTCGTCGCCCTGTCTGTGGGGTCTGCCACGCCTCCTTCTGCCTGATGCATACTTTTAACAAAACCATTATACCCTGATTTCCCATTTTCAATGGGTTCAGGGTATAAAAAGTTTAAAAAATTACAAGTAAGAAAGCTGTAATCGACACACACACACACACAAACACACACACGCATACAAACACACAAGGACACACACACGCATACACACACATACATACATACACGCACACAAGCACCCACGCCTAAACACGCATTGGCTGCAGTGTGCGCTTACTATGAGAACTTAATTGTTTAATAACTTTTTTTGTGGACATACGATCTTCATGAAAGTTTAAGATTATGATTATAACACGGACATACATGTATTTGCCAAAGCACAAGTCTGAAATACGCCTTTTACAAACTTATCGGTGAAGGGGTTGATAGAGGGGTGAGCGGTAAATTGCATAAAATGCATATAAGTATAGATTTAAAATTTGAAAGCTCTAACTCAAAAGGTGTAGGAGATATAATTAAATAACTAGCTTTCGATAAGGGGTTTTATCGATAATAAAATATCGAGTAGTTATCGCTATTTAGAGAAAAACTCGATACGCGTGTGATATACACGGACCTAGGAAAAAAAGTTTCTAGCTCATATAGCTTCTGAGATCGACGCGTTCATACATACAGACGGGCGGAATGGGCAATGTGATATCAGTACGAACTATTCGCCGATGGCTATTAGGCTCGGATCTACCTGGGAGAGTCATTCGCAGGGTTCCTCTATGGCGTATATAAAAACAAGTAAGAACGTTGCAGTCGGGCGTTACCGACTGCGGAATACTCATTCACATCCCATCAACAATTTAGTAGCTAAGTTTCGCTCTAATACTGTAGAATATACAGGTTTTTCCGATTAGCCACGCCCCTACTGGGCGCAGACACCTCGTTTTTGGTCAGTTCTTAGAACGTGATAACGGTACACTAACTGCAAAGTTTGAATGCTTACCCTCAAAAAATGTGAAAATTACAGGGTATTTTTCGATACGGCACGCCCCTAAAGAGGCGTAAAAATGATTTTCGGGGCATCGATAGAGGAGGTTACTGGTGACTTAACTCTCTAAATTTGAAGCTTTTAGCTATTATACTTTAGGATATATCAACTTTTGCGGTTTGCCACGCCACCTGTGGGCAGACATATATCCGACAAAGCTTTTTGGTCTTAGGTGATCAGCCCGAGTATATATACAAAATTTGAGGTCTCTGGCATCAATAGTGTCCAAAATAGAGCAGAATTTAAAAAATCACTATATCTTCAGGTCCGATTTGCCACGCCCCTAAAAGGCGTAGACTTATAAATTGTCTTTTGACTTTATAGAATCATAACATTAGCTGACGTGCAAAATTTCAGCATTCTAGGTTTACAACTTTAGGAGATACAGTTTTAGCCGATTTGCCACGCCTCCAATGGGCGGCAGCATTCTAGGTTTACAACTTTAGGAGATACAGTTTTAGCCGATTTGCCACGCCTCCAATGGGCGGAGATATATCCGCCATAACTCGTGATCTTGGGTGGTTGACGCGGACCTACGTACCAAATTTCACCTTTCTAGCTCTTCAACTAACATGATTTCTGGTATATCGGAAAATGCATTTTCCGATTTGCCACGCCCCTAGTGGGCGGATCGGGAAAATTTTAACACTTTACAAATCGGAGATATACACGAGTATGTGTTCCAAATTTTAAGTCTCTAGCTTCAATAGCGCCGAAATAGATTGCATTCATACGGACAGACGGATGGACGGACAGACGGACGGACAGCAAGACGGACATTGCACAAAACCAATATACTGATTCACTTTCGTGAATGAGTATAAAAACGGAACTCACAAGGCCTGGTTTGGCTTAGAGGTAGAGCGTAAATGGAAGAACATTCTCTGGAGTGATGAAACGAAAAAAAATTTGTTGGGGAATGACTCAAATATTATTGTTCGAAGACCTAAAGGCAATAAATTGGATCCTATATATATATAAGTTAAGCGCTCCCACACTAGAGTACTAGTGATTGAGGACGCTGTGTTGGGTTCTTGTGAATATATAACAACTTTGTATTCAATGAAATAATATATTTTATACAATTTGGAACAATAGGTCTAAACTCTCTCTAGTCCGAATATGAACTGAACCAAATCTGTTCAACTGGTTAGGTTCTCCCCTTGAATGTCTGACTGGACTCTCCAGCCTCCTTAGATTGTCGAAAGTCTTAACTTATATATATATATATATATATAGTGCACTGCAGTAAGCTTTTTATTCGGTTTTCAACATTTTAACAAATGTTTATGTATGCCATACGTTTACGAGAGCAGGGAATTAATATACAATACTAATCGATCGCTTACGATCTACGGAATATAGTGTCTACCGTAAGAGCATAACTAGGTTCGCATTTGAGTATTTGTATTGTATTGATATTAAGAATGTATGTACTTTATGTGTGTGTGCCTGTGAGCGTGTGTGGCGGAAGAATCATTTATAAGCCTAATACTAACAAACCTGCAAGTGCTCAAAAATTTGTATCATTTGTACGTATATATATATATATATATATATATATATATATATATGGATGTGTGCGTATACGTACAAATGATACAAATTTTTGAGCACTTGCATATATATATATATATATATATATATATATATATATATATATATAAGACTGCATGTGAAGAGAATATTGTATGGCTGTCCCTCGTTCGCTCTCAGCCAACCGAAACGCAATGTGGACACAATGTAAAATAGTTGACAAAACAATTGGCTGAGACAAGCCAGGCATTACCCACCGCTATTGGCATATCTAGGGTTGCCTCGGCCTCTCCACGGTAATGGGAGGAGCTTCCAGGTTCAGTTGCAGCTTCGTATTGTATGAAACAATGCCCTTTGTACCGTTGATGTTCTCGCATTCGGGCTGCCTCGCAGTCAAATTCTATTGATTTTGAGCTGGGTGGGACGGAACAAAGTCAATGTTTTTCTTCACGATTTCGTTATTATTTTTTGTTTTATTCTCGCGCGCATACAAAGCCTATTCCTACATACGTATGTATATACATCCCACTTAAACATGTAAATGAACGTTTGCTTGTATGTCTATATGTGGAAAACCCACAATATCAAAGAAAAGAGCGAATGCTCGTAATTCGTGCAACAATGTATGCGCAATGAAATCGCGTACCAAACACAAAATAAACGCCCCATGCGCACCTTTTTAGCTTTCTATCTCTCTCTTTCTTTCTCTCTCTCTCTCTCTCTCTCTCTCTCTATATATATATATATATATATATATATATATATATATATATATATATATGTATCTCTCTCTCTTTCACTTCTCCATAAGTCTACGGAAACATACAAACACACCTCGGACCTATTTAGAATCTGTAAGCTAAAATACAACAAGCAAGTACTACTCTTAAAGGCTCTGACGACACATTCAATTTCTTCTCTCTTTCCCTATCTCTCTCTCTTTCTATTTCTCTGTCTCCTCTCTTGCGTTAACTCCCACAAGCGGGGGCATGCGCAGAAAGCGGATAGCAAGACAATTTAAGTGCTCTATCAGAGCAACAAAAATTTGTGTGGCGTCGGTATCAGTTCTCTGCGATGTGTCAATGGTAACAGTAAATTCTAGCACGAACGCGAATACGAATACCACGGCGAGTGCGAGTGCCGACCGCTAACGGAGCTCGGTCGCTGTGGAGAGGAGAAGGTAACATAGAGAGCATTACAGCAGCAAAAGTTAAGGGCACGACGTAAATTGTTTTGGCTCTGTCTTTGATTTAAGTGTTGGCTTGCGCACGAAAAGTTAGGATTTAAACGGAGGCGCGGCTCGACTCACCGCCGCTCGCGTCGGTATGGATATTTCATTGTGCTGGGAAAGACAAAAGCGTCAGCAACAGGAACTGAACCAACTTCACTGTTTCAACCAATCACGTGAGGAGCTCACGCGAGGTACTCCCCGTCACACGAACACCAAGTCGGGACACAATTGACGATTACAGTTACTTCCAAGTGCGCAAAAACGCACACACACACGTTCGACATATATACGTATACAGATACGGGTGTAGCTGTTTCTCGGCAGACATAGGATCGGCGGGTCATTATTATGTCGTGATTCCATACGTTCGAACGTAGCTAATGTCGAGTCGTTAGCTGAACTGAAAATAATTGTTTTCCAAGCTAGTGACAAGTGCGTTGACAATAAATACGAATTTTATCTGTAGACACTCAATCATGTAGAAAGTGCTTCGCTACCGTTAGAGCCTTGAAAAAAAAAACTACTTGAAACTAAAAGTTTTTACATAAATAAATAAAAACATTTATGTATGAATTATATAAATATATTAGCTCCTGGAATAAATATCAAATATATTCCTAAGCTTGTAACTTCATCTGTGAATACCCGCAGATATATGAACATATATATCCGCAATTCATGCATTCACGTTTAGTCAAAAATAATTAAAACTATTTAAAACATACATATTTTGCTAGTTCACTAAAGTAATAAAAATAATCAAATTTGAATTTGTAATTTTTCCGATTGAATATTGATAATTATTGAATATTAAATATAGAAATTTCCGTGACGTGACGTGATATTATCGATAAAATGAAATGGGGTGATTTATCGAAAAGTTATCAAACTTTGGCTTACAGGAGTATGCATTAAAACTTGATGGGATCTGCCAGGCCCCCTTCTGCCTGATTTCCCATTTTTAATGGCTTCAGGGCTCTTTCTCTCTCTCTTTCTAGACAAGAGTGTTGGATTTTGTGAACGATTTTTATCAATAATCATAAAATGAGATGACTAATAGAACACCAATAATATAGTCATTCACCGTATTGTATTCAGGAATGTTTAATTAGATTACTGTAGATTTTGCGGTTTACAAATAAGGCCAGTCAGTCACTTATCTCGTCTGTCTGATCAAGAATATATGTACATATATCGTCGCATTCCTGCGAAATGATCGTATGTCGAAAAATGTAATTTTACAGGAGGAGCTTTATGTTATTATACATATGCTTAAATTTACATTAATTTTTTTTTCCAAAACTAGAGCGAATTCACTTGTTTTTGCAAGTATGTGATGCAGATGCTTTCTAACCGTTCTGCATTAAAATCTCAATTTCGCAAAAAATCAACATAGGAGCATTTCGTGGGAATGCGACGATATGCTTTATGATGTCTGCCACTTGTTCTTTTGCGTTCCGGGTTCCGGGTACAATAGTTATTGAGGAAATTTTTTTTGTAAATGAAATACAATATGGCTACGCAAAATATATTTAGCTTCGGTACCTATTTTTGTGTGATTATTGTTGCAGGCACAGTTCGAAGACATGACTGACATTGAAGCGAATATACAAGAACAGCAGCAGCAACAGCAGCTGCAGAACGTGCAACGGATGCAACAGGAAAGCTGCCTGCAGGAGCTACATCAGCAGCTGAGTGCCCAATTCGGCGCAGGAAGATTCGCTGCGCAGCATCAACAGCAGCATCACCAGCATCAGCATCAGACTGTGGCTGCACTGCCCAGCAATTTAGTGCCATTTTTGCCATTCCTACGTCCACCTGTGCCCTTAATGCCTGGTCATGTGGCGTCAGTCCAATCGCATTACAGTCTCAGTCCCAGTCACGCCCATTCGCACAGCCACGCCCATGCAAGCGCCCACAAGCTGACAATGCAACCGATGTGGCCAACGGCAGCAGTCGCAGCCGCTCACATACAAGCGGCATTGGCTGCCGCCGCTGTGGCTGCCACTAACAACAACAACAACAATAATACTAATAATAATAATAATAATAATAATCATAATAATAATAATAATAATAATAATAATAATAATAATAATAATATTAATAATAATAATAATAATAATAATTATAATAATAATAATAATAATAACAATAATAATAATAACAATAATAATAGTTGCAATAATAATAATAGTAATAACTGTAGTAAATACAATAGCACCGCAAAATATTCAATTGTGAATACATCTGATCAGAGCACGATGGAAACGTTAGAGCTGGCTAGTGTGGAATGTGGTGTCGATACTAAAGCATCTGTATCTAGGTCGGGATCACCAATGCGGGATCGTAAATCTTCGCACGCATATAGCAATAATACACCGCCGGATTCACCAAATCTCACAACGCACAGCCCGCTGGATAATTCAATTTCAATAAATTATCCGCCATCGCCTATGGAACATCGAAGCAAGGGGTCGGAAACGTTAGGCTCTGAAATCGATGCACCACTTAACCTATCGAAGCCAAAGGGCTCACCAGACTCGTCCCCGATTAGTGCCAGTCTGAGGGAACGCATTGTGCCCAGTCCCCCTTTAAACTGGCAGCAGGTAGGCCAAGCGGTTCCAGTTACTCCTCATCATTCCGCATCTGCTGCCCTATACGCAGATGTCGACGCCAACTACTTACAAAGCCGCGTAAGTAAGACTCTTCCAAATGTTTTCCTTTTCTACTCTTTCAATAATGACACAAACCAACAGAGTTTACAAACTAACACTCAAGGCAATGCCTATTGGTCAAAATTCTTTGAAAAATCTAGTTTGATCTGGTTTGAGCAAACATCTATTTACCGATAATGGGGACGGTATATCCCGAAAGTATAGCTCAGGAGAGAAAGCACTTATTTCACGTATTTGTATGTTGTCTGAATTAGATGATTGCTATTGATATGATGTATTTGAAAGGTTTTGGTTTTTATACATGTTTAATATTACAAATCTCTAGTTCAGCTAGACTATATATCCATTATTATTGATCCTCATAAAAAGTATATATACTACTAAGGGTTGAAGGGTTGGGCCCCGCCTCAATTTTCGTATTACGATATTTTCCATTATTTCTTCCGAACTTTTGCCGAATTCCCATATTGAGCATATTGAAAATAACACTGCTTCAATTGTCGTACATGTGCTTTCAGGGCCGCATCTGGAGTGCAAATGCTGCCAGTGTCCCCGAACCAAATACAAATTTAGCGAGCGGCATCGGGACGGGCAGGGTTGGAGGGCCGAGTGCTCGAGTCGGCCGGACAAGTCGGGATTCCTTAAACAGCTGCGGCACCAGCTCAGAACTATCGGCTGCATTAGACCCGGAATACCAAGCTCAAGCCCATGGCCATGGGCAATTGGGTGGACAGTCGCAACGACATGGTCATGGACATAGTAAGCCACATATTAAGAGGCCCATGAATGCGTTCATGGTCTGGGCCAAGGATGAGAGGCGCAAAATATTGAAAGCCTGTCCGGACATGCACAATTCAAATATTTCAAAAATCTTGGGCGCTCGCTGGAAAGCGATGTCGAACGCTGACAAGCAGCCCTATTACGAGGAGCAATCGCGTCTATCCAAGCTGCACATGGAACAACATCCCGACTATCGCTATCGTCCACGTCCAAAACGCACTTGCATCGTCGACGGCAAAAAAATGCGCATATCTGAATATAAAGTTCTGATGCGTAATCGACGTGCGGAAATGCGACAGCTTTGGTGTAGAGGTGGCGGACCTGGTGGTCCGACAGGTTCCAGCTCTAATGGACATAGCCACGATGCTGGCTCCGCCGTGCAAGCTGCAGCAGCAGCAGCCGCTGCCGCCTACCACCTGCAGGAGATGAGTCATGCAATTGTCGACGATTGTGAAACGCCACCGCCGCCGGCTCAACTACTAGACTCTGGAGCCATCGCGAGCAGCAGTAGCAATTTTTATTATCCACCGGAAAGTTTATCGCCATCGGGTTTCTCCTCCGAGGACATGGAAATTTTATCATTGCGTGATGACGACTAAGAAACAAGATTATGTCGTTTATATACGTATACATATGTATAGAGACATACGCGGATTCAAATAGATTGTACTTATAGCTTGTAAATACTAAAATCATTGTATAGGCCTTTAAGTTTTAGTTCAAGTGCCATTACACACACAGAGATGTATATGTATATATACATGTATGCAGTAGAATCCCGATAACTCGAAATGGCCAGGGGATCAGTTTGTTCTTTTTTTCGGTTTACACAAATTTAAATTATCGAGAACTGTTGAGTTATTGAATTTCTTTCAAGGGGATAGAATTCTTTCGCGGTTTTCGATTTATCGGGCTACAAATATACACATGTGTATAGATTGAGTGTTTCGTAGTTGTTCACTCCAAGTTTTGTGCCATTTATGCACCAATGCCATAGCAAAATATTAATATACTTAATTATTAGGTAGAAATTTGGATGACTAGGGTGTTCTGTACCTGTCTCCATATTTACATATGTATGTATTTATATTCTTATATATAATTAGTATGTGCACGAATCGAGAAAAAATGAAATACATGTAATTGCAGCCCTAACAGACACTCTTATATACGTATACATATATAACGAAGGAGTTTGTATACACAGACACACATAAATAAAAATTGATGTATGCATGTTAGTTTATAGACATTTCATCGTGTTCTTCTAAACTTTAAATGCGTAAAAGCTAAAAGATAGAATAGAACTCTTCATGGATGCAATCAATCACATTATCGAAAGGCCTCTTTCCATTTGTTATTTTTTTTAGTATACTATACATATATAAATTGGATTTTGGGTATAGGCAACTTATGACACTGTATTGCTTTTAATTAAGTCAACACCGAGATATTACATACATATATAAATGTATATTTATGCACACAGTCACATATAAATATCTCATATGTCTTATGAATCTCACAAATCATGTAAATAATCTAAGACAAGTGTGTACTTTAAAAGTATTTAAATATCTATCTAATTAAAATTTAAGTACTTTTTTTAATTATTATTATTATTGCTTCAATGAATCTAATGATAAATACAAAACTATATAAAATACGGTTGTGATTAATTTTTATTCTTTTTCAGCTTACACTGCATGTTAAAATATAAATGTATATACATAGATAGTTCCGAATTCTATATCTCTATCAAAAATAATACAGTGTCATAAGTGCAGCTCATGTTGTATGAATGCTCTAATCTGGTGTGCCTATCGAAAAAATTGCCAGCTCATATTATAAAAGGAACTCTCTAATACGCTTTCCTCCATTTTAAATTTGGCTTAATGTATTACAGATAATTCTCAAGTAGTTAATTGTATTACATATATATACGTTTATCGAGGTCGTCATCTAATGTTTTTTTCTTTTGACTCACTTTTATAGTGCTCGAGTTTTCTTCTCAGCACACGAAAGAAAAAATGTTCATATTTATAGATATATGAAATATGAAATGTATGGGCTTTCTAGATCTGTGTAATATATACATATATATATATATATATACATTTTTTTTTTTTTTATAATATACTGAACCCATTGAAATTGGTAAATCAGGTTATAATGGTTTTGTTAAAATATATGAAACCGGCAGAAGGAAGCGTGGCAGACACCAGAAAGTATATCTTAGATTAGGGCGAAAATCAGCTATAAAATTTGGTATCCTACATCTGCAACACATGTGGGTTTAGGCGTGCGTGCCTATGTGAGTGTGTGTGTTTCTTTTGTAAGCAGAAAGACGCGAAGAGATAATGAAAAATCAGTTCTTCGAAGGGTTCATTGAATTTCGTAGTCGAGCAGTCTTTACTAGAGCTTTTCTACTTGTGTTTTATGCCCTGAAACCATTGAAAATGGGAAATCAGGGTATAATGGTTTTGTTGCACTGTATGTAACAGTCAGAAGGAGGCGTGGCAGACCCCACAAAGTATATATATGTATATGTTCTTGATCAGCGGGACGAGCTGAGTCGATTTGGCCCTGTCCGTCTGTCCGTATGCTTGAACGCGTCGATTACAGAGGTAATAGTAAGCCTACACTGCAGCCCATGTGCAGTGTGAGTGTGTGTGTGTGTGTGTGTGTATGTGTGTGAGTGTGTGTGTAGTTCTTGCGTAAGCAGAAAGACGCAAAGAATTATTAAAATATCAGTTGCTCGAAGGGTTCAGGGGATCTCGTTGTCAGCAGTCTCGACTACAGCTTTCTTACTTGTTTTTTTTTTTTTTTTTTTTTTTTATATATCCTGAACTCATTGAATATGGGAAATCAGAGTATAATGGTTTTGTGAAAAGTATATAACAGGCAGAAGTAATCATCATAGACCCCATAAAGTATATATATTTTTGATCAGCACGACGAGCTGAGCCGTCCGTCCGTCCGTATGAGTGCGTCGACCTCAGAAGATATGAGAGCTGAAATTTTGCATGCATACTCGTGTGTACCATACGCAGTACGAGTTCATCATATTTTTTGGATAACTCATTCGATTTATTTTTTAAGCCTAATTTGTATACTATTGGACCTGGAGACTTTAGATTCATTGTGTATGTATATTTAATAAATACGAAGATTTTGTAGTTTACAGATTTTGGATACCACGCCCCCTTCGCCATCAATTTGAAAAAAAAAAAAAAAAAAACAAGTAAGAAAACTCTAGTCGAGAGTGCTCGACTAGATACTACCCTGAACCAAACTAATAAAAATGCTCAATTAGTATGGCTAAAATTTCAATTTCGATGTATTTAAAAATATAAATGAAATACAAAACTCATTTAATAAAATATAAAAATATTTTGAAACAATTAAAAAAATTAACATAAGTTGCACCGATCGGGATTCGAACCCGCGACTTCTCGATCGAGCGTCACGCAGCTACTTGATAAGAAGAACGTAAGAACGTTGCAGTCGGGCGTTACCGACTGCGGAATACTCATTCACATCCCATCAACAATTTAGTAGCTAAGTTTCGCTCTAATACTGTAGAATATACAGGTTTTTCCGATTTGCCATGCCCCAACTGGGCGTAGACACCTCATTTTTGGTCAGTTTTTAAAACGAGATGATTGTACCCTTACTGCAAAGTTTGAATGCTTACCCTCAAAAAAAGTGAAAATTACAGGGTATTTTTCGATATTCCACGCCCCTAAAGAGGCGTAAAATGATTTTTTGGGGAATCGATAGAGGCTACCAGTAACTCAACTATCCAAATTTGAAGCTTCTAGCTATTACACTTTAGGAGATATAAACTTTAGTTTAGTGGGCGGATCGGGAATATTTTAACACTTTATAAATCGGAGATATACACGAGTATGTGTTCCAAATTTCAAGTCTCTAGCTTCAATAGCGCCGAAATAAATTGCGTTCATACGGCCAGACGGACGGACAGCAAGACGGACATTACACAAAACCAATATACTGATTCACTTTTGTGAATGAGTATAAAAATAACATCAGTTACGCCTATCGGGATTCGAACCGCGACTTCTCGATCAAGCGTCATGCAGCTAACACACTACGCCACCTCACTTCTGCGAGTGGCTCTGGCAAAACTCAAACAGATTCACTGCTGCAGCGCCATTTACCAAAACTAAACCAAACTAACAGCTGATGTGATTCACAGAATGTTCCAGAAGAAGTTTGAATGTATGTGTGCACACGCATACGATGCTGTTGTAGCTGCTGCACGTGAGTTTGTTAATTGGCCAAATATTTGATGATTTTTAATTAATTTTTGACTTAATGGAATTTAATGAAACTTTCAGCATATGATCTACATATTATATTGAATACAAGTAGCTACAGTGGCATCTGACTTGAACTTGAATGTTTTTATTCGATAAAAACATAACGGGAGGATTTATCGAATATTAAAAGCAAACTCGACATCCGCGCTGTATATACGGTCATTCAAAAAAAAATTCAAGTCTCTAGCTCTTATATCTTCGGAAATCGACGCGTACAAACATACGGACAGACGGACAGACGGACGCACGGACAGACGGACAGACAGACAGACGGACAGGGCCAAATCAACTCAGCTCGTCGCCCTGATCAAGAATATATATACTTTCTTATATATACTCCTTCTGCCTGTTACATATATTTCAAGAAAACCATTATACCCTGATTTCCCATTGAAAATGGGTTCAGGCTATAAAAAACGTATTTCATAGACAAATTTAAACATTATTATTACGTTCTCAAAGAGTCATTAAGATAGTCCGTCTACAAGAGAAATTATTCAACAAATAAATTCTCATGATATTGCCCAAACTGCAGCGCAGCCCAAGCCCAGTCGCTGCATACTGCGCAGTTAGCAGAGAGTCTGGTTATGCGTACGTGTAGATGCATGTGTATGTATGTGTGAAAAAAAGAAGTGCAGAATGATTAGAATATCGAGCAGTCTCGACTAGACGACGGAACGATACAGAAGCCCCATCCGATTGGATGTTAGCTGCTAGTCTAAGCTTTTGTAGCTTGACAGTGTCAAGTTGACACGTTTTAAATATAATACAGAAGCAAGAAAAGTTCGTTACTTTCAAAGACTAAATATTCTGCATATCAGCTTGCCAATTTTGAATTCTATTTACTTGTGTTTTATTTGCCTTAGGTGGCTTAGCAATATGACGTAATGTTCTATAAAGTGTTTATTATTTAGTTAGACTAAGTAGATCACCGATACTAAATAATGAAAAGATCTTAAACATTTATAACTATATGGTACTTGAAGTAATGAATGGATATATTCTAGCTACTAAGTAAGTCTTTATTGGTTAAATTCAAAGGCGAACAATTGTCAAGATATATAAGTTTATGCATATACATTTGTATTTGAGTTAGTCTTACTATATAATGTGCAATACATCAAATATTTAAATATAAATACATATTACAGATATTATTTTTGTATTTGATTTAGAATCCTTTAACAACAGGATCAAGCAAACTCGAAAATAAAATTTGACTACATATTTATGACGCGTTCATTTTAATGCATTTACCCATCAGTTTATGGGCTCCGCAAGAATCGATCGCTAATATTCAGTTAATGCGCATTAAAACCATGCACAGTGCATAAATAAATATTTTTGGATATATATTGATCCATCTGTGGAGAAGGTAATCACAGGTATCTAGCTGAATAAGTGTAACCAAAGATCATGAACTTGGTTGAGCCAAGTAAACCACGACCCCACAGCATGCTAACTGCAGGATTACAACTTTTTATAAGTACAGTGAAGATGGGAAATCAGGCTATAATGGTTTTGTTAAAAGTATGTAGCAGTCAGAAGAAAGCATCACATATCCCAAAAAGTATATACAGTTGAGTCCCGATAATTCGAAATGGCAAGGGGATCAGTTTTTTTTTCACGAAAGTGAAACGAGTATATTGGTTTTGTGCAATGTTCGTTGAAATGTGTAACACATACTCATGTATATCTCCGATTTGTAAAGTGTTAAAATTTTCCCGATCTGCCCACTAGAGGCGTGGCAAATCGGAAAATGCATTTTCCGATATTCCAGAAATCATGTTAGTTGAAGAGCTATAAAGCTGAACTTTGATATATAGGTCCGCGTCGATCACCTAAGATCACGAGCTATGGCGGATAGATCTCCACCCATTGGGGGCGTGGAAAATCGGATAAAACTGTATCTCCTAAATTTGTGAGTCTAGAATGGTATATATACGCGGGTTGACCACCCAAGTCCAACGAGCTATGGTAGATATATGTCCATTGAATATGGGTTGAGGGTATAAAAAGCATGGATGTGACATTTATCTTCCCTATTCAGAAATCAGCCAACTAAAATGCAAATTTAGTGTATATTAAATATAAAACTTATAATATATATGAAATTGCTTGCAATCGTACCGATATTCATCGGTCAATAAATCACATGTATGGTGACAAGGGTAAGGTAAGGTAAGCAAAATTTCAAGGCTCTATTTTTATACCCTGAACCCATTGAAAATGGGAAATCAGGGTATAATGGTTTTGTGAAAAGTATGTAACAGGCAGAAGGAGGCGTGGCAGACCCCACAAAGTATATATATTCTTGATC